CTACAGTGAGCCGTGATCAAGCCACCACACTCCAATCTGGGTGACAGAGTGAGACCCTGCCTCAAAAAATGAATTTAAAGACAGACCTTTGAAAGCAGGTGGATGCGTGGCCCATGTTTACCTATTTCTCATTGGACATCATGCCCCTGTGTGCCTGTGGACTATTTTCCGTGACGTCCCAAGATAGCCTATGACCACCTGGTGATGCAACCAAAATAACATAAGCTAGCTGCCACAGAAGCACCACCAACTTCAGACAGGATAGGGATTTCCCAGGTATGTCCAGGAGAGCCAAGAAGGCTCTGGAGGGGGTCCAAGGTTTCAGACTTCCCAAGTGTCTAATACTCAGCAGTAGGTGCTGAGGTTACAACCTTAGTACCTTTAGAGTCTGTGTGTCCTGTGTCCCAAGTGCTAAGGTCATGAACTTAAGGTCATGAACTTAGACTCCTGGGTCACAGGAGCTGGGATCACGACCTTAGTCCCTTTAAAGTCTGTGTGTCCTTGCTCCCAGGTGCTGGGTCCATTTCCTTAGTCCCTCTAGCATCTGTGTGTCCTGGGTCCCAGGTGCTGGGTCCATTTCCTTAGTCCCTCTAGCATCTGTGTGTCCTGGGTCCCAGGTGCTGGTATCATGACCTTAGTCCCTTTAGAGTCTCTGTGTCCTGTCTAAGGTGCTAGGGTCATGACTTCAGTCCCTTAGTTCGTATGTCCTGGATCCGAGGTACATAGGTCATGACTTTAGACCGTTTAGAATCTGTGTGTCCTGATTCTCAGGTGCTGGGGTCATGACTCTAGTCCTTTTAGAATCTGTGTCCTGGGTCTCAGGTGCTGGGGTCATGACCTTAGTCACTTTAGAGTCCGTGTGTCCTGGTTCTCCAGTGCTGGGTTCATGACCTTAGTTTCTTTAGAGATGTGTTTCCTAGCACCCAGGTGCTTGGGCCATGGCCTTACTCCCTTTTAGTCTGTGTGTCCTGAATCCCAGGGGTAGGATCATGGCCTTAGGCCCTTTACAGTGTCTGTGTGCTGGATCCAAGGTGTTGGGGTCAGGACCTTACTTCCCTAGAGTCCATGTGTCCAAGGTCCCAGGTGCCGGAGTCACAACCTTAATCCATTTGGAATCTGTATGTCCTGAATCCCAGGTACTGGGGTCATGACCTTAGTCCCTTTAGAGTCTGTGTCCTGGGTTCCAGGTGCTGGGGTCACAACCTGAGTCCTCTTAGAGTCTCTGAGTCCTGAGTCTGAAGTATTTTGGTCATGACATTATTTAGTTTATAGTCCATGTGTCCTGGGTCCCAGGTGTTGGAGTCAGGACCTTAGTCCCTTTAGAAACTGCATATCCTCGGTCCCAAGTGCTGGGGCATGACATTACACCCTTTAAAATCCAGGTGCCCTAGGTACCAGACACTGGGTTCAAGGTCTTAGTTTCTTTAGAGTCTGTAGGTCCTGGGTCCCTGGTGGTGGAGTCACTCTCTTAGTCCCTGTAGAGTCCCAGTGTGTCCTTGTTCCTAGGTGCTGGGTTAATGACCTTTGTCCTTTTGGATTCTTTGTGTCCTTGATCACAGGTGCTGGGTTCTCCACCTTATCCCCTTTACAATCTGTGTGTTCCGGGTTCTAGGTGCTGAGGTTACGAACTTAGTCCCTTTAGAGTCTCTGTGTCCTGTGTGTAAAGTGCCAGGGTCATGACTTTAGTCCCTTTAGATTTCGAGTGTCCTAGATCCAAGGTGCATGGGATTTAAGCCATTTAGAGTCTGTGTGTTCTGGGTCCCAGGTCCTGGGGTCATGAACTTAGTCACTTCAGAGTTCGTGTGTCCTGGGTCCCAGGTACTAGGGTCATGAACTTAGTACTTCGATAGTCTGTGTGTCCTGGGTTCCCAGTGCTGGGTTCAGGACCTTAGTCCCTTTGGAGTCTCTGTGTCCTGTGTCCCAGATGCTGGGGTCACATCCTTAGTTTCTTTAGATTCTCTGTGTTCTGGATTCCTGGTGCTGTGGTTATAACCTTAGTCCATTTAGAGATGCGTATCCTGGGTCTGAGGTGCTGGGGTCTCCACCTTTGTCCCTTTAGAGTCTGTGTGTCCTGGGTCCCAGGTGCCGGGTTCATGGCTTTAGTACCTTTAGAGTCTGTGTCCTGGATCCCAGGAGCTGGGGTCAGGACATTAGTCACTTTAGAGTCTGTGTGTCCTGGGTCTCAGGTACTTGGGTCATGACCTTAGTCCCTTTAGTGTCTGTGTGTCCTAGCTTTCCTGGTGCTTGAGTAAAGGCCTCATTCTCCATTCATGTATTCAACTCAACAAACATCTGTTTGCCTTGACTGTGCTCAGGGTACTTTCACCAGTCTTGGGTGGGGGACTGGGGTGGTAGAGATTTTTACCTGGACCTGGAGGCAAATTATCTAGAGGAAAAAAGACACAGACGAGAAAGTGACAAGTTAAGCAATTTATGAGTTCAACCAGCCTTCAGCAGCGAAACAAAGGAAGGTTTCCTGAAGAAGGAGGCACTGCAGGTTGGAATGGGGATGGGCATGCACAGAGGGTGTGAGAAGGGGTGGGCGTTGAACAGTTGACAGGACAGGGCACCAGAGGTCACAGGATTGGGCAGCAGGCGGTGCCCTTCCCCCCCCTTACTCCCCACCTTACCCTCAAGACCCCCCTCACTCTCCCCTTCCCCCTGCCCTGCCATGGACTGAGAATTTCCAGTGGCTCCCTCCCAACTACTAAGCACATCTGCCACTTGGGAAAAGTGCATGTATGTAAGCCAAAGTGGACCCAAAAGTCACCAGGGACACCCCAGAGCCAGGCTTGTGATGCTGGTGTTGGTGACGATGCTTGTCAATAGGCCAGGTGCCCTAGAGGTGAGGGCCGCCCCCAGCCACATCCCACATGCGAACACCTGGGGAGGGCACAGCACGTGGTGACACGAGTGACAGGCAGGGCTAGAACTGCCTCAAGTGGCGGGGGGCCTTGGGGTGAACCTGAGGGGAGGCCCGGGAGGGCCTGGCATGCACGGCGCACGCAGCGGCCCTGGTAGAAGTTGAGATAGGGGGTGGCAGAGTGGGGCGGCGGACAGCACAAAGTGCAAAGAACTTTGGAAGCATGGCTATCAGGGTGGATTTGGGACCCTGAACCCAGCGAGGGTCCATACCTCAGTTTCTCCAATCTGAGCATACCTCCCAACTGTTCCCACCTTGACAACTGCTGCTGTGTCATGGTTGCTGGTGGGCCCGGTCGTTTTCTGTCCTGGACCCGAAGCCTCCTGAATTCAGGCATGAGCACACAAGCCACACTGTATCCGGGCTGGTGCCTTGCAGGCACTCGGTGAATGCATTTGAATCAATGATTGAATGAGGGCCAGTCCCAGTCACCACAGGGAATAATACGGGTGGGGGGAGTGCCAAACTGTGTATTTGCTTTTTTTTGAGTTGGAGTCTTACTCTATTGCCGAGGCTAGAGCACAGTGGCATGCTTGCAGCCACCGCAGCCTCAACCTGATGGGCTCAGGCAATCCTTCTGCCTCAGCCTTTCAAGTAGCTGGGACTATAGGCACATGCCACCACACCAGACTAATTTTTTGTCACCCTGTCCCTAGGAGAGTTCAACGCCTAGGGCCACGATTAGCTCATGGCCTGAGCAGACAGCTGGACTGACCCCCAGAGTTAAGGGTCCCAGGTGTGCAGGGTGACATGTGGGCCCAGGCAGAGCTGGACTGAACCCTAGGCTTAAGGGCCCTAGGTGGACCAGGGTGATGTGTGGACCCAGGCAAAGCTGGACTGATCACCAGACCCTGCGTCCCAAGTGGACCAGGGTGACATGTGGACCCAGGCAGAGCTGGATGGGCCCCCAAGCATAAGGGTCCCAGGTGTGCAGGGTGACCTGTGCGGACCCCATGGCAGGCAGCACTAGAGCCCGGCATCCCAGGCCACTCCAGGCCCTGTGACGGGGCTGCCCTCTATGAGCAGAAAGTGGGCCGGGGCTGTGGGGGCATAGTAGAACTCCTGGCTTGCGGCCTCATGGCAACCCTGGCCTCCAGGGATTGGGAAGGAGTGGCTGCTCGTTTTCCCTAGAAACAAGCATGCATGTGAGCACGGTGTTTCTGCTTCCAGGGCTGTTGTGGCTGAGTATCTTGACCCACGCAGCCATGACCGAGTGTCACGACCCATGTGGTTGTGACCAAGTGTTGTGACCTGTGCAGCTGTGACTATCATGACCCACATGACCATGATGGAGTATCATGGCTTGGTGGCTTACAACCATGGTGGCCACACCCCATCTGAGACTGTGGGGAAGACCCTCCTGGGCCTCCAGCTCCCAGGGTCTCCACGCCCTCCTCTTCGCCCCATCTCTCCTCTGGGTGCCTCTTAGGAGGATACTTGTCACTGGGTTTAGGACCCACCTGCTAGTTCAGAAAGGCCTCAACTCGAGATCCTCAACTTCATCACATCTGCAAAGATCCCTTTTCCAAATAAGGTCACAGAGGTACAAACTAGAGTCAGGAGTCCCCCTGCGTGGCTGCCCTGGCCACTCTTTAGCCACTGGCTATCTTGTCCGCTTGGGCAGATTTGGTGGCCCCACCCTGGACACCAGCGGAAAAGCTTCCCTGTATGGTGAGGAAGGTGGCCCCGTGGGAAATGACAGAGACCTGAAACTCGGTGCTCCAAAGACATCATTCTACTGCCTGAATGGCAGCCATCCTACCCTCTCACCCTGTGACAAACTCCTATTCATCCGTCAAGACCCAGCTCAAGCCTCACCCTCTCCTCTCCTGGGGACTTGCCTTTGCCTGATGTGTGCAGGCCCACATGGGCTTCCTCTCTCCATCTGCAATCCTGGCAAGGGCCTGGGATGGGCCACAACAAGCATCCCTCCCCCAGATGACAGAAGGGTCTGTGAGTGGTCACTCCTCCAGAATGTCCTCCAGGGTTGGGTCCACCCCCCCACCCATCTCCCCTCCATGCTGGCCACCGGCTCTACCCTCCCCAGCACCTTGGCTTATCTCCTCTTCCTCCCCAGGCTGGTGGTGGGCGCCCCACTAGAGACCAATGGCCACCAGAAGACGGGAGACGTGTACAAGTGTCCGGTGACCCCCGGGAACTGCACCAAGCTCAACCTGGGTAACTCAGGCCCCGGCCTCATCATGGCTAGGCCAGCCCTCATCTAGTTCAAGGCAGGCTCCCTACACACCCATATCCATGCCACACCGGCCCCTCCCAGCCACGCCTTGAGATGACCCCACCAGGCAGATGAGGAAGCTGAGGCCAGAGAGAGGAAGCGACTTTCCCACAGTCACACAGTGCATCTCCAGCCCAGGGCCCTGGGGTCCCAGGCCATTGTTCTTCCAGCAGAAGGAAAATGCTCCCATCCCCCTCTAGTTTTTTGAGATGGTAGCGACAGTCGCTAGTACGCCTGTATCTTAGACAACATTCCTGCATGCTGGGCGCACCTGGAGTCACACGATCCCCACGATGCCCATGTGAGATGGAGCCATTGGCAGATAAGGGGCCACAGCTTGTGAGGGTCTCTTCTGGGGTTCCCAACCAGCAAGCGACAGGTGGGACCCCCGTCTAGGCAGGCCACACAAAGCTCTGCCCTCCTGAAGCAAGGCTTCTCCCCTGGAGAGCTCGTGAGCACATTTAGGAACCAGAAGGGCATGGGCTGTAAGCAACCCAGCCTCCCTAGCCCTCCTGGGATCTGCATCTGTATGCACGTGTGTGTGTGTACACATGTGTGCATGTGTGTGCATGTCTGCTTGTATGTGTGTACACTTGTGTTCTTTGCTTGTGTGTGCATGTCTACTTGTGTGTGTCTGTGTGTGCATGAATGTGTGTCTGCATGTGTCTGCATGAGTGTGAGCACGTGAGCATGTGTGTACATGTGTGTGTCATGTGGGCGGTGCCCATGTGTGTAAGCATGTGTGCATGTGTTTATGTGTTTGTGTGTGTGCATGTCTGCTTGTGTGTGTGTGTCTTTGTGTGTGTGCGTATCTGCATATGTGTGTGCACACATGTGCACCCACTGAAGCGCACACACCAGCCCACAAGCATACCTGCACTCATCCTAAAGGTCTGAGAGCAGCGGAGTGAGCTCTGCACTCAGAAGGGCATGAACGTTCCCCTTGAGCTGAGAAGTGGCGACCTGGGACTGGTTTAGCTAGGGCCAGTTCCCTGGGAGTTCCCCTAAAGGAGGGCATTCCTGTACGGTACCACGGGTGGGCACCCTGGGGGAGGGTAGGGCAGCAGAGAAGCTGTGGGGAGGGTAGAGGCTCAAGAGGGGCCGGGGATGAAGGAACCTGCATCCAAGGGGCCAAGCCCGGTGGGGCAGCTACTGTGGTCACGCGCTGTCCACGCTGAGTCAATGCCACAGATCGGGACTTCAAAACCCAGGGCAGCGGCCCTAGTGACTATGAGGAAACAGTTTGAAGAGGTGGGCCTGTGTGGGGATCCCAATCCCAACTGTCCGCACCCTGAGGCTTGGCCCTTTCAGCCTCACGCACAGGGCTTCCCTATCCAGCAAAGTGTCCTCACTGTGTGTCCATAGATTGTTCACATGTGCTGAGCCTTGATTTGCGCATGTGTAAGTGAGGAGGGTGAACTCCATGACCCCAAGGTCCTCAGAGCTAATCTGTCCCCCACCTTTTTTTTTTTTTTGAGTCAGAGTCTCACTTTGTCACCCAGGCTGGAGTGCAGTAGCATGCTCACGTTCACTGCAGCCTCGACCTGCTGGGCTCAGGCGATCCTTCCACCTCAGCCTTCCAAGTAACTGGAACTACAGGCGTGTGCTACCACTCCCAGCTAATTTTTTATTTACTTATTGTAGAGACGAGGTCTTGCCAAGTTGCACAGACTGGTCTGAAACCCTGGGCTCAGGCAGTCCTCTCACTTTGGCCTCCCAAAGTGCTGGGATTACAGGCTTGAGCCACTGCACCCAGCCTGTCCCCCACCTTTTAACAAGCACCTGCTGTGTATCAAGCACTGTATTAGTTACTGGGGGACAAAGCAGGGAACACAAAGCCAAAGGACTCTGCTGGAGGCAACAGTAACTGAGTACACAAATTAGGAAGCAGAGCTGGGCACAGTGGCTCACGCCTGTAATCTTAGCACTTTGGGAGGCCAAGGCTGGAGGATTGCTTGAGTCCAAGGTTTCAAGACTAACCTAAGTGATATCGTGAGACCTTGTCTCTACAAAAAATTGACCAGGCATGGTAGCGTGTGCCTGTAGTCCCAGCAACTCAGAAGGCTGAGGCAGAAGGATCACTAGAGCCCAGGAGGTTGAAGTTGCAGTGAGTTGTAATCTCACCACTGCACTCCAACCCTGAGTAAGAGTAAGATCCTATCTCTAAAAAGCAGGATAGCTTCAGGCAGGGATTAATGGATAAGGGGAGGGACTTCTGCCTTAGAAGGTGGCCCGGAAGACCCCTCTGAGCAGGTGACATTCCAGCAAGGGCCTGATGGGAGAAAAAGGCAGGTGGGTGGAACACGATGGACAGCAAGGGAGATGTGCAAAGATCCTGAGGTAGGAGCGAGCAGGTTCTTTGGGAGAACGCAGAGCAGGCCATGGTGGGGGGCGGCAGAGGGGCAAGGAGGTGGTGGGACCAGGGCCTGTGATCAGGTCTCTAAGGAAGCCTCAATCTGGACAGGGGCCTGGATGGCTTCATAGAGACCTTGCTCCCTGCCACAGGCTGGCTGTCAGAGAAGCAGAGAGGCAGGCACGGAGGGGGTACCAGGCTGCCAAGCTTGAGGGGTCTTGAAGGGACATATGCGGGGGCACCATGTAGGTGTGCTGGCCTGGGGGAGGCATGGTATGCATGGGGCACCAGGGCTGTGGGGTCCAGCAGCTGGCTGGAGGGGGAGCTCCAGGGAGGGAAGCTCCGCATGTCTCACTGTGTGACCCCTTGAGGGTGACTTGCCATCTCTGAGCCTCAGGCTTCTCATCTCACAGGGTTTGGGAGGCCTCAGCAGACCGCGAAGGGCAGCCCCAGCATGCAGGGAGCCAGGACATCCCCAGGGGTGGGGGGACTCAGGTGACAGGGCAGAGGGTGGGTGAAGGCTGCAGGCTGAGCCTTTCTCCACCTCCACCCAGGAAGGGTGACTCTATCTAATGTGTCTGAGCGGAAGGACAACATGCGCCTCGGCCTCAGCCTGGCCACCAACCCCAAGGACAACAGCTTCCTGGTAAGAGCCACCTGCTGCCCACTGGATCGGGGAATGGGGTGGGGCTGGGTGTTCACGCTCCCCGAATACCCCATGCCACGCTCCATTTGCCAAGTCTCCCATCCCCATGTGCCCAGGACACAGCTCACAGCTCCCTGCTTGTGGGTATGGGGGCAGGTGGCCCTGACAGGAGGGAGCAAGAATAAATACATTCAGATGTCTGATGGGCCCTCCCTCCCCAGGAAATGGCTGTTGGGGAGAGGCCTTCTCGCTGTTCCAGGTTTGAAAACAAAACAGGCTGCACCACACACACAGCCTCGGGGACTGGGAAGCAGTAACACAGACCTGCCACACAGACACACTCATGCCACATGGGGAGGGTACGAGTCCACAGGCCACCTGCTCCAACCAGGAGGAGGTGAAGGCCAGGGGGTGTCCGCTTAGTTAAAAAAGAGACAGGTTTTAGCAAGGAAGAAAGAGGAGGGGGTGTCTGGGTTTAAGTGGTACAAGCACTCACTCATTCAAACAATACCTAGTGTGCCCTAAGCCCATGCCAGGCCCTGGGGATTTTCTCAGCACCTGGTATGAACCAAGTACTTAGTATGGACTAAGTATGGGCTGAGTACCTAGTGTGGACTTCGCCTGTACTAAGCAACCAGTATGCACTAAGTATGTACTAGCACGCTAGTATGGACTGAGTGTGTACTAAGTATTTAATGTGGACTTAGTGTGTACTAAGTACCTAGTATTGGCTAAGTATGTACTAAGCACCCAGTATGGAATTAGTATGTACTAACCACCCAGTGTGGACTAAGTATGTACTAAACACCCAGTATGGACTAAGTATGTACTAAGCACCCAGTAAGGACTTAGTCCATACTAAGCACCTAGTGTGGACCTACCACCTAGTATGAACTAAGTACACAGTATGCACTAAGCCTAATGCCAAAACCTGGGGCTCCAGCAGCACACAGAGCCTCTGCCCTGCCATAACTCACACTCAGAGACAATGGTAATGTGTGATAGGATGCTGGGGACAAGCGACAGTGACAGGCCATGCGCAGAGGCCTCTGGACTCCGCCCAGCAAGCCTACATGTCTGCTCCCTGCAGCAGTGCAGGTGGCACAAGGGACTGGCACTGCCTGCTCCTCGTCACACAGTGGGTGAACCACCAGGAGTGGGTGAGGTTTGGGTCTTTCTGGGTCTCATCATTCCTAGAAGCAGCTGCAGGAGAGGATTCAGAGAAGAACTACCCTGGAAGCCTAAGTATGACACCTCCACATTTAGATGGGGCCACTCTTCCTCCTCTCCCTTCAGCCCATTGTGACAGATGAGACATTGGGGTATGAGCACCAGGACAGCGAGAGGGCAGGGTATACGGGAACTTGAGGACACAGTGGCCCTGCCAGGAACGGCCTGAGGCACTTTGGTGTATACTCAGCCCACAGCCCTCAGCACCAGCCAGGGGTAAGACACGTGTGTCCACTGGGGTCTCCACTTCCTCTTCCCTCCCAGGCTCCCAGCATATTTCTACTGACTCGATTTTACCTACTCCACAAGGTGGGGTGAAGGCCTGAGAGGAATGGAGGACACACCCTCTGGGGCCTCTGTGGGCAGCTCAAGTCCCTGTTTATAAGTAGTTAGCCACTCTCACTCAGCAGTCCATCTCCCCACCAATAATCCATCCCCCCATTCACCTATCCATCCATTCACTCCTCTACCCATCTAGCTATACATCAATCCACCCATTCATTCTCCCGTACAATCGTCCATCCGTCCCTTCTGCATCCATTCTCATCTATCCATCATCCACCCATCTGTCATTCACCCTCCTATCATCCACCTATCTATCCATCACCCATCCGTCCATCCATCCACCCCCTACCCATCCATCCATCCATTCATCCGCCATCTAGTCATCCATGTATCCGCCCATTCAGCCGTCATCTCCCCATCCCTCCGTCAACTCATTCATCCATCCATCTACCTGTCAATCATCTGTCCATCCATCTATCCACCCACCTGTTCATCCATTCACCATCCGTCCACCCACCCACCCATCCATCCATCCATTCATTCATCATCCATCCATCCACCTATCCATCATCCACCCATCCATCCATCATCCATACATCCATCCATACATCCACCCATCCACCCGTCATCCATCATTCATCCATCCATCCATCCATCTATCCACTTATCCATTTATTCATCTATTATTTATTCTCCCCCTATTCCAAAACCAATCTCCGGGAGATTCAACAAAGGACACGGATAAACATAACCTTTTAGACCTGAGTTAAAAGAGAAACCGCATGAAAAAAAGAGATCCAGAGTAGAATAATTATGGTCCTAAAGTGAAGGACACTACAGAACAGAGTTGCAGACTGGGCTTCCCGACAGCAAGACAGCAATGGAGGTGTGGGGCTGTACTTTCATCTCTACTGACCCTGACTTTGAGAGGAACTCACCCCTCTGTCCTTGAAGGGCTATTGTTCCATGTTTTCAGCAGCAAATCTCCCAGGAAGGAGAGCACTGTTCTTTTCCCCCCAGCAAGAGCTGGGGCATGTGTCAGGATCTCAACCCAGAAGTTTGCCTTAGAGGCTTTCCGTGACAGCCCCAGACAGAGGAGCTATGCTGGTGTCCCTGGAAGGTCCATTCCCGAGAATGAGAGGTTTCTCCAGATCCTGAGCAGCGGGCAGGGTGGGTGGGGGTGAAGAAGCGTCACCACCTTGAAGGGTGGGCCTTGACAAAACCACAAGGGAGACCCATCTCCATGACAGCCACACCCGAGGGAGCCAGTGCAGGCTGCAACAAGAGAGAGCTCAGTGAGATGCAAGGAACCCTCAGTCCCTGAGGTGTGCACACGGGGTTGGGGACTGTCTAGGATCGCAAGGCGGCCCTCCTGAGGCCCCTGACTGGCATGTGCACTGTGTCCCCAGGCCTGCAGTCCCCTCTGGTCGCACGAATGCGGGAGCTCCTACTACACCACCGGCATGTGCTCCAGGGTCAACTCCAACTTTAGGTTCGCCAAGACCGTGGCCCCTGCCCTCCAGAGTAAGTGGCTTGTAACCTGCACCCCGGGGCTGGCCTTGGACAACCAAAGAGGCAGGGCTCTGGTCTCCGCTCCCTATGCTGGAAGGTCTGTGTGGCCACTCACCAGCCCTCTCCCACTCTCTGGGTAGCCTGGGATGAGTCGTTCTCCTCATGTGACCCCCACCCCAGCATCTGCAGGGCCACAGTCCTGGCCTGCCCTCCCCCATGGCGTGTGAGTGGGGACAGAGCAGTGTGGCTGTGAGGATGACCCTGGCAGCGAGGGAGTGCTGTAAAGCCCTGAGCACCATGGTCGGTGGGAGGTGTGGGTGGCGTGCCCAGTGCTGTGCAGAGCGGCAGCCCTGTGGACAAAGGCCATGGAGAGCTGAGACCTCCCTGCAATAGCCACGGGTTCCGCACTCCTGGGCGTCCAGAGTTCCGTCCAGCTCACACACAGCCTCCTGCTCACTCCCCACCCACCACGAAACCTGGGGACTTTCTGCTCAAGCCCTGCTCCCCTGCACGCCCAGGAGTCTTGGCTGGGACCTGCCTGTTTCCTGGGGCTGACGTCTGTCACCCCACAACTAAGGAGACCAGAGCATCCTGCTCATAGCAGCCAACCTCTACCGACAGGGTCCAGGCAGGGGGGAATGGTATTGGGGCACAGGAGGGGGTCGCAGGGCAGGAGGTGGACCTCTGAGGGCTTGGGAAGGCGTGGGTCCCAGCCCCACAAGATGGCAGAGGAGGAGGCCATGACAGCATGGTAGGAGGCTGAAGATCAGGGCACATGGGGGCCACTAGGGTGCTCTGGGCCAGGAGGTGACTGTCCCCTGCCCCTGAGCCTTGTGTTGTGGAAGCCTCACTGCACTGGCCAGTGCTGCCTGAAACTTCTCCAATGCAGATCCCAGGGCTCCTGTGTAGGTGCTAACTCAGTAGCCCCAGAGGGAGACAGAGAAAGAGAGAATGTGTGTGTATATTTAAGCTCCTTAGGGAGTGTCCAGTCATGTGTAGGAACCATAGGCTCCATGCCAGCTTCTTCCCAAGGTGTCTTTAACAGAAAATTTTGATTTTAAAAGAATTAACCGGGTATGGTGGCATGTGCCTGTAGTCCCAGTTTCTTGGGCAGCTGAGGCAGGAGGCTCAGTTGAGGCCAGGAGGTTGAGGTTGCAGTGAGTTGTGATTGCACCACTGCACTCCGGTCTGAGTGGCAGAGTGAGACCCTATCTCGAAAGAAAGGAGAGGGAGAGAGAGACAATATTGTAAGAAAGAAATCAGCAATAAGAAATGCATTCTCATGAGAAAACTGACTTTAAAATAGAAGAACCCTGGTCCCCATACTAGATTATAAACTCCCCCAAATCAGGGAGTTTATGTCCCATTCACCTCCATGGCCACCTGTGCCCATTCACACGTGTCAAGCTAAATCTCACTGTACAAGGACACAGTCATCAGGGTCCATCAGGCTAAGCATGTCAGGCCATCTCACACATGGCACACAAGTGGGACAGGAAAAGGTGTCCACATCACCCACCTGCTCCTAGTCTCACTCCTGGACCCCACAGCTATAGCAGGCTGGGCTCAGAGCCACCCCACCTCCATCCGGTGAGCTCTGGCTTCTGACAAAAGAGTTACTAGAAGGGTTAACACGCAGAAGGCTCCCAGGTGTTGCTGTAGTTGGTTTTATGGCAACAGGAAAATCCTCCAGTGAAAATAAGCAGCCTCCCAGCCTCCATGTGGATGTGGAATTTCAAAGCAACCTGGTGCTGAGGAGCAGAGAGAAATCACTTGGATTTTTAAAGAGGTTGTTTACTTTTGTGATGGTCCCGAGGTTTTCTTACCTCTCTTAGTTGATTGGTATCAACTATCCCCTTGAATTTGGCATTGGAATTTCAAGGACATAAAGAGAGCTTCACATGCTGAGGCGGAGGTGAAAGCCCAAGAGTGTGACCCGATATCATTACCATGTGGCATGCTGGGATTCCCTTACAAGGAGTCCAGATGGGTCGGCTCAAAGGTGGGAGCCCTGGCTGCATGCCAGCTCCTCAGAGCATCTTCTCATCGGGCCTCATGGCACTGTCACCCTGCCTCTTCAACATAGAGAAAACTGAGGCTGGGAGGCCATGTGACAGGTTACCCAGCTAGTAAGTGGCCACAGGCTGGTGCCAGATTCTGCACGCCCAGCTGTGACGTCACATGGCCCTCCTGAGAAGGGACATCTGCTCATTAGGGCTAGAGTGGGCAATGCTCACCTGCCCAAGACACAAAACAGAAGAACGAGGCACCAATGTGGGCAGCACTAACCAGTTGGCAGAGCTCAGTCTCCAGTCAGGAGCAGCGGTGCCCGGGCTTCTCTGAAGCTTTGTTTGAGCAGCCGGCAGGGTGGTGGGTCAGAGACTCCAAGGCTGATCACCAGGTTGCCCCTAGAAACGTCCATCCCAGGGAGTTGCACACGTACAAGACACACTCTGTCTGCTCACCCGGGGAGTCTGAGCCTTGCAGACACTGGTCTCTGGGTAGCCATGATGTGTCCCCAATGCCCTCCCAGGATGCCAGACCTATATGGACATTGTCATCGTCCTGGACGGCTCCAACAGTATCTACCCCTGGGTGGAGGTGCAGCACTTCCTCATCAACATCCTCAAGAAATTCCACATCGGCCCTGGGCAGATCCAGGTAAGCCACGCAGGTGCCTCCTCCTCAGAGCAGGGTTCCAGGGCAGGTGCTGCCTTGGCATGTGGGGACATCTGTGCAACACAGAGAAGGCCTCGGGGAAAGGGCGAGGTGGGGCTCTGCAGCCCAGGACAACCTCTCCAGCAGGCACACAGAGGGACAGTGTGAGGAGCCTCCCTTCACGGGCCAGACGCTGCCCCTGGCAGAGACAGAGGCTATGACGACTTTAACCAGCCAGGGCAGGAGGCAGGAGGCGGGGGTGGTGAAGGGGCCACTTGAGCCCCAGGAAGAGGGCACAGGGGAGAACAAGGCATGTTGAACTCAGAAAGAAGATGGCGGGCAAGGAGGTGGAGCTCCCACTCCCATTTTTTCTTTCTTTTTTTCTTTTTTTTCTTTGAGTCAGGTTTTCACTCTGTGACCCAGACTGGAGTGCAGTAGCACAATCACGGCTCACTGCAGCCTCGACCTCCTGGGTTCAGGCAATCCTCCCACCTTAGTCTCCTGAGTAGCCGAGACTATGCTCAGCTAATTTTTAAAAATTTTTTGTAGAGACGGGGGCTCACTATGTTGCCCAGGCCGGCCTGGAACTCCTGGCCTCAAGCAGTCCTCTCACCTCAGCCTCCCAAAGTGCTAGGATTACAGGCATGAGCCACCACACCTGGCCCCCACTCACATTTAAAACGCTACCTGGCTAAAGAAAGGGTGGATCCAGTTATTCTGGCTGAACAAGAATCCATAAACAGAGGTTATAAGACAGCAGATTCCAAGTCCAGCTAAGAAATTATTTTTAGCCAATAAAACTGTTGAAAAGGGAGTGAACTTTTCCATGAGGCAGCAAGCTCCCCCTACCGGAAGATCATCCTTTAGGACCCATGTGCCAAATAAACTCTGGATCGTCCACCAGAAACAGCTCATCATTCTATTTCTGCTATGGGGTTTTAAGGGATTTTGTTTATTTTGCTATGAATATTGCTGATGCCAGATATGGTGGCTCACGCTTATAATCCCAGCACTTTAGGAGGCTGAAGAGGAGGATTGCTTGAGGCCAAAATTTTGTGGTGGCGCATGCCTGTAGTCCCAGCTACTTGAGAGGCTGAAGCAGGAAGATCGCCTGAACCCAGGAGGTTGAGGTTGCAGTGAGCCGTGACCATACCACTGCACTCCAGCCTGGGCAACAGAGTAAGACCTCAACTCTCTATATATATTGATGTTGTATCAACCTTGAGGCTAGAGGAACCTCTTCTGAGTTTTGGGAGCCAAGTGCAGAGCTTGGTGTACACCACCTGCCTCCACCCACATGGTCCCTGACATCCTAGACCTGACTGCTCAACATGTGTCTTTCTGAGAGAGAAGCATCTGCCAGACTTTCTCCAAGCCTCAGAGTCTCATCCTCTAATACGCCCCACCAAGCCATGCGTGTTCTTGAGCTCTGCAGACACTGTGCCCTCAGGCTGCAGCCGCTCTTCTAGGAAGATCCTCAGCCCTTTTGGGTCACCTTGTGCTGACCCATCCCCCACAGAGGAGCCTCACCCTGGAGGGCCAAGTTCCAGCATCAAGGCACCCGTGCCCTCCTCCACCCTGCAGGTGGGAGTCGTCCAGTATGGGGAGGACGTGGTGCACGAGTTCCACCTGAATGACTACAAGTCCGTGAAGGATGTGGTGGAGGCCGCCAGCCACATTGAGCAGAGGGGAGGCACAGAGACCCGGACGGCGCTCGGCATCGAGTTCGCTCGGTAAAAAAAAGAGACGGGGATGGGGGTGGGGGTGGGGACAGGGAGAGGGAAGGTGGGGGAGAGAGAGAAATAGAAAGAGAGATGTAGAAAGAGAGAGAGATGGAAAGAGAGAGCAAGATGGAGATAGAAAGAGATGATGAAATTAGAGATGGAAAGAGACAGAGATGATAGAGAAAGGGCTGGAGAGAGATAGAAAAAGATGATAGAGATAGAGAGATAGAGATGGAAGGAGAGAGATAAGAGAAAAGAGAGAGAGGGATAGAGAGAGAAAGAGAGAGACAGAAATAGAGATACAGATAGAGAGAAAGATGAAGATAGAGAGATACATAGAGATAGAGATGCAAAGAGAGATAGAGACAGAGAGAAAGAGGGATGGAGAGAGAAAGAGATAGAGAGTGATAGACAGAGATAGAGATACAGATAGAGAGATAGAAATTGAAAGACATAGAGAGATAGAGAGGCATGGAGAGAAAAAAAGATAAAGAGATAGAGAGATGATAGTCAAAGATAGATACAGATAGAGACAGAGAGATAAAGAGAGATAGAGATGGAAAGAGAGAGAGAGAGATATATAAATATAGATGATATAGAGACAGAGATAGAGGTGATATAGAGAGAGATAGAAGTAATATGGAGAGAGATATAGATATAGATAGGTAGATAGGAAGATCTCAGATACTGTTCTCATTACCTATTGATTGCCCTGTAACAAGCTACCACAGCATTTAGCACCTTGAAATATAACATTAATTATGAGTCCTGGCGTTGGCTGGGCTCCGCTGGCCAGTTCTCTTTGGCGTTCTCCCACATGGTTGCATTGTAGTATCAGCTGGGTCATTGTTATCTGAAGGTTCCCCTGCATGGACACCCAAGATGGTGCATTCACATGGCTCTGGGCTGGTTGGGAGTTCAGCTGGGGCTGGTGATCTGGGCACCCACACGTGGCCATGGGACTTAGTCTTCTCATGGCGTGACAACTGCCTTCTGCAGCGAGTGTCCCAAGAAACCCAGGTGGGATCCTGGCCTCCAAGTCCCAGGACATGACCCTTGCCACACTCTGCTGGTCCAAGTGGGTTCTGAAGCCAGCCTAGAGTTGAGGGGAAGAGAGTTTCTGTCTGCCTTGATGGAGGAACAGTAAGGTCATGTGCTGCAGAAGATCCTTGGAATGGGGGTGTTGTCACAGCCAGCCTTGGAAAACACATTCTTCCCCTAACTCCCCATAAGGAGTATGTGGGCCCCATGGGGGCAGAATCACCCTGGGCGTGTTTGTCATCAAGGAGTGTGAAGAACGTAGTTAATCTAACATCTGAGACTGTAGAGACATGCGGCTGGTGCCTTCAATGCCACATCAGAACTCACTCGTCCCAATGAACGTCATCTGTAGACATTGTCCACACAGACGGCTACATGCTCACTCCAGTAGCACTGTCATTCAAAATTATGCACGACCGGGTCCAGTACTCATGCCTGTCACCGCAGCACTTTAGGAGGCCGAGACAAGAGGATCACTTGGGCCCAGGAATTCAAGAACAGCCTGGGCAACATAGTAAGACCTTTTCTCTTAAAAAAAATCTAAAAAATTAGCCAGGTATGGTGGCACATGCCTGTAGTCCCAGCTACTCAGGAGGCTGAGGCGGGAGGATCACCTGAGTCCAGGAGGTCGGGGCTGCAGTGAGCCATGATTGTGCCACTGCCCTCCAGCCTGGGAGACAGAGTGAGACCCCCAACTCAAAAACAGAAGCAAAACATTATGCTCACTCCCACTGAAGTTAGCCAATGTTTAAGACAGCCCCCCAAGATCTCCTGAGCCAAGGCCTAAACTCCCAAGACAACTATGTCAGAGGCTTTAGATTTCAAGTGTCTGAATTTTACTCCTATGAATGTGAGGACTGCTACAGTCCCTGAGACCACAGACCCACTCCTTCATGCCCCACCCCCATGGGGTTAGTCGACGTGGTGCACAGAATCCCACAGTGCGAGAGTGATTTACCGCATTGTGACCACGTGTGGCCAAGAGATCAGGAATTTCCAGCCTCACAGATCCTGATGACTAAGTCACTGCCTGGCCAGCATGGCCCTGTTGTGCTGATGAAACCCACTCGGGTCTTTCCCAAAAAAAGTTCCTCCGGGTGAAGACGGCCCTCTCATGCTCACGAGGGCCCCACCGCTGACTGCGGGGCCCCATCCTCAGAGTGAGACCCGAGCCTCCTGCCGGCCCTTGTGAGAGGTCTGTGACCACCGGTTCCCTCCTGGCATGAGGCTGGCTGACTCATGCCAGGAGGAAGCCCACGGTTTCGGCCTCGTCTTACAACCTGCTGATCTCAGGTTAGCCACCGCATGTGACTTACCAGGTGGTTTGCACCATCGGGGACACGTGGCATGCTGTAGTTGGAGTCTTCACCTCAAAAAGGCTTGGAATTCTGGTCTTCTCAGCCTGCCGACCCAGGTCCCAAATGACCGCCAGTCCTCTTAAAGTGGAGGCTCTCTCTCTTTCTTTCAAGGCAGAGACTTTCTTTCTTCATCCAGTTTACACGCAATACATGCTTCTTTTCTGTGCACCTGCCCAAGGGCAGAGAGCCAGGCCATGACCTGAGGGTCACAGAGAGGCAGCCTGTGGTTCCTGGCTGTGGCAGCACACAGCTCCACAGAGGAGCCCTGACATGTGTTAACATCAACTTAACCCAGTGAGGATGAGGGAGGGAAGGACCCCTAGAGGGACCAAGAGGGTTGCCAGGAGGAAGTGGCATTTGATCTGTCCTAGGCAGACCCTGGGATTCTGCAGAGAGATGTGGAGAGAAGCCCCATCACACAGGATGTTCCACTCCAATGACAAAGGAAGGGGCATCGGAAACGTGTAGGTGCAAAGTCGCACCCATAGGAGCACAGCACAGGATTCATGCTGGGGGTATCGAGCCACCCAGCTGCAGAGCGGGCTTGGAGCAAGATGGTTGGGGTGGCAGTGTCCTTAAGACAGGAGTGGGTGGGCACTGCAGGTTACCAGGTACCAGATACTGTCATCAGCTGTGTGGCTAGGAGGGTGACCTGGCAGCGTGTAGTTAGGAAGGGAACATCCCCCAGCAGTGTGGCGTGACCCCCACCTCTGCCCAGTTAGGAGGGTGACCTGGAAGTGTGGTGTGACTCCACCCCTGCTCAGTTAGGAGGGTGACCTGGGAGTGTGGTGTTACCACGCCTCACCCAGTTAGGAGGGTGACCCGGGAGTGTGTGGTGTGACCCTGCCTCTGCCCAGTTAGGAAGGTGGCTCAGCAGTGTAGTGTGACCCCGCCTCCACCCAGCTAGGAGGGTGACCTGGCAGCAGTGTAGGGGGATGACTTGGCAGTGTGGTGTGACCCCCACCTCTACCAGTTAGAAAGGTGACCTAGCAGTGTGGTATGACTCCACTTCACCCAACAGAACTTAGTTGATCACCTAGTATGGGCGTCTAGCCACGGAAACACTGGGCCAGCTTTGTGACCACAGCAGGAGATCCCTGTCCTGGTGTGTGAGCGGACACTCTAGAAAGGTCGGTAGAGATGAGCAAACACCAGCCATTGTGTTCTAGAAGATGGAGGCTGTGGGAGCAAAGGATGGGGTTGGGCACGTGCAGGGTTGGGCATGAGTCGGTGTCTGTGGAGGGCAGGGGAGGCTTCCCTGGGGGATGGCCTTGGGTGAGACCTGCAGGGGTGGGGGCTGGCCATGTGGGCATCTGGAAGGGGGCAGCTCAGAGGCCAGGCGTGCCTGGTGCCCTCCAGGACAGGGGCAACAGCCAGCAGGTGGGGGGGGAGCCAGCATGATAAGAGGCTGCGGGGGGGCAAGCCCTGTCACAAAGGGCCCAGGAGGCCGTTGTCAGGACCCAGGCTTTCCCTAGGAGAAGCATGTGAGAAGCAGGAGCATGTGTGGGTCTTGAGCAGAAGGGATGTCTGTCATGGCCTCAGTCTATGTGGTCTCCTGGCCTCCAGATCCACAGAGCCTGTGGTGAGTGCAAAGCTCCCGCCTCTCTCATGGAATTTATAATAGAAGCTATGGAGGAGCAAAGCCATGTCCCTACCCATGTGAAGTTGCCACCTAGAATCTGCCACAGTAACCTCAGATCCACATGGACATCACTCTGGATGTCACTCCACTCCAGGAGATGGGGACCACCATTTTGATGGCCCCATCTATAGTAATACATGCTTTCCCCTGTCATTATTTTCCCATGGAGTTTCATTTCTGGACCCAGCCCTCCAGTGAGGTCATGAAAGCATCTAGAATCTCTGTGGAAAGAATGGCAGAGTTTTCCCTCCTGGGTCGAGCTTAAGCTCAGAGCTTTCTCAGCCCACACAGCGGGTGCTTTGCAGCCCCCTGGCCATGGCGCATACTAAAACGGGAGAGTTTTACATCAACACAAGCGGGACATCATGGCCCTGCTACGGGAACACAGATGGGTCCTTCTCTCCACTGGTAGCTGTTCAGATGTTCTGAACTGATTCATTCCAGGTTATGTGAGTCATGCATATCAGCCCAGCAAGACAGGTAACAAGAGATACCTCTGATGTCAGTCTTCCTGCCCTAGAACCCATCTCAGCACTCTGGGAGGCAGAGGAGGGAGGATTGCCTGAGCCCAGGAGTTCGAAACTAGCTTGGGCAACTTGCCGAGACCTCATCTTTACAAAACTGTTTTTAAAAATTTGCTGGGCGGCTGGGCTCGGTGGCTCAGCCTGTAATCCCACGCTTTGGGAGGCTGAAGTGAGTAGATTTCCTGAGCCTGCAGGTTTGAGACCCACCTGGCAACTTGGCGAGCCCTCATCTCTACAGTAAATGAAAAAATTAGCTGGGCGTGGTAGTGCGCACCTGTAGTTCCAGCTACTTGGAAGGCTGAGGCGGAAGGATCAGCGGAGCCCAGCAGGTTGAGCCTGCAGTGGCCAGGAGCGTGCCATTGCACTCCAGTCTGGGCGAAAGAGTGAGACTCCAACTAAAAAAAAAAAAATTAGCTGGGCATGCTGGTAGTCTCAGCTACTCAGGATGCTGAGGCAAAAGGATCACCTGAGCCCAGCAGGTCAAGGCTGCTGTCGACGTGATTACCACTGCCCTCCAGCCTGGGCAATAGAGTAAGATTCCAACTCAAAAAAAAAAAGTGAGAAAGAGAAATCTTTTTCATGGAATTTGGATTTTAATATTTCCCAAAGTGAAATCAAAGCCTCGTGGGATGGGGGGTCAGACCTCCACCAGGCCTCCCCCAACATGTTGGCGTTTGTGGTGAGGGTTGTTTGGGTGTTGAACACCTGGCCAGCATCTTCTCAGCACTGAGGGGGCTGGCCTCCACTCAGGGTGCTCACTAGCACCCTTCTAAAGTTCCTGAGACACGTGAGTCATCACCAGCCCACGGGAGTCTCTGATTCAGTGGGCCTGGATGGGGCATGGGCATCAATGGTTTTTAAAAGCTCCCCCAGCCAGAATTGGTGGCTCAGCCTGTAATGCCAGCACTTGGGGAGGCCGAGACGAGTGAATTGCCTGAGCCTATGGGTTCAAGACCAGCCCAGGCAACTTGGCGAGACCTCATCTATATAATAAATCAAAAATTAGCCAAGCGTGCTAGTGCACGCCTGAAAAACTCCTCCACAGGATCCTCACGTGCAGTTGGGCTCTTGCATCACAGACTCAGCTCCCCTAAAGGTTGGCGTCGCCCCTGAACTGCCCTCCCAGTTCTACTTCACCCTCTCAGCCTATCCAAAGCAGCAAGGTCAGGTCTAAAGGGGCTTTGCAAAGCCACTTTCTAGGCCAGGCACAGTGTGGCTCACACCTGCAGTCCCAGCTACTCAGGAGGCTGAGGCAAGAGGATCACTTGAGCCCAGGAGTTGGAGGCTGCGGTAACCTATGATCTATCATTTCACTCCAGCCTGGGCGACAGAACAAGACTCTGTCTCCAAAATAATAATAGTTTTTAAGTTCCCTTTCAAAGACCACAGGTCAAAGCCCCACCTGAGAGCGGGTGGGCGCATGATGGCCGGGCGCCTCAGCCGGGAGCCTTCAGGCCGCCTAAGGGGGCGCTTTTGTCCCGGTCTCTGCGGCCTCTCTGGGGGCGTGGGGCAGCCCCAGCCGCTTCCCTCTCATGACCCTCCCTGCGCTCGGATTCCAGCTCCGAGGCTTTCCAGAAGGGCGGAAGGAAAGGGGCCAAGAAGGTGATGATTGTCATCACGGACGGGGAGTCGCACGACAGCCCGGACCTGGAGAGGGTGATCCAGCAGAGCGAAAGGGACAATGTGACCAGATACGCCGTGGCCGTGAGTCTCCCGCGTGCCGCCCAGCCCTGGGCCCAGGCGATGACTTCGGGCGGTGTCACGGGCGACCGGGATCGACTGGGCCTCTCGGGCGTCCTCCTATAAAGCACGCAGAGGATCGCCCCGCGCCGCCGGAGCCCGACCCGGCGCCGCCCGA